TTTTCCTGTGGATTTTCTTCAGGGACAAACCAGGAAGTTCTCATTTGTTTGTGACTGGACGTTCTGGGGCTGGTATCTTTGGTGGAAGCGCTGTGTTCACGGCACGTTCGTCCCTTTACAGTGTGGTGGCTGTTTAGGGGCTAAGGGGAGAAACACTCAGATCCACTGAGTGCCTGTCACCCCTGGCTTGTGTCCGTGTCCTCAGAGGTGAAGAGAGGGAACATCTTGCACCGAAAAAGGACATTGCTGTTACGGTGTTTCTAATCCCTTTCCCTCTCCCATGGCCACTCCATCTCTGTCTTTGAGAGTTGTTTAGCTGTGCAAAGATGCGGAAGGGGTCTGCTGGGGTAGTGTTGTACCTAGCTCTGACCCTGAAAGGCAGCTCTGAACGATCTTTTAACTGAGACAGAATAAAGGCTGTTTCCCTTCCTTGTAACTTAGACTGCATGTTTCTGAGATGCTGCGCCCTGGGCCTCATGCAAGTGTAAGTGAGGCAGGCAAACAGCTGGTTGCCTCGGCCGCACATCTGAGCCTTGTGTGAAGGTCACAGACCATCACGGGCTGCAGTCGGGCAGTGCTGTGTGTGTGTGTGTGTGTATGTGTGTGTCCCGCGGGGTCCAGTCCAGCAACAGCTCTGAGCCCCAGGCCTCTCCTGCCATCCTCCCCAAGCTGAAGAACTCCAGAAACTGGGCTTGCCAGGCAGTTGGGTGAGCAGACTGTGCTGTGCAATATACAAGTACCAAACTGCCCTGAATTTTTTGTACTCATCAGCTTTTGGGTCTGCTCTCTCTACTGGGCAGATCGGAGGGCACAAGGTGCATCAGAAAGAGCCAAGTGTTAAGGAGCTGAGCGCCTGAATTCTATGCTCGTTGAGCGATCACTATTAAATACTGGGTCTGGGTGGGTCCGGCCTTCCTTCTTCCCCTTATGGATTAGGAGAGCTCAAGAATCCTTGTAGGCTCCTGATGTCTGAGTGTGGACATGTTCTGGGGAAGAAGCGACTGTGCTCGCCCCTGCCTGCCTTGGGTGCCTGCTGGCCGGCCAGGCTTTGCCCAAGACTCAGAAACAAGTTAGGGCCAGTGCCTCCCTGCTCCCTCAAGGACTCTGCGTCTGGTGGGTCTTCTGGTTACAGCTTAGCGAGGAGGGCATGCCACCTGGGGCGGTGGGAGCAGACTTCCAGGAGGAAGTGCAGCTCTGGGTGCAGGAAGGTGCTTGGGTTGTTCAGACAGAAAGATGAGGTGGGCGTAGTGAGTAGTAGGTGGGGACCTCCAACAGTGCTTGGAGGCACATTATTGGCCAAGCACACGGGTCACGGTGGCCGTGGAGTGGCGGAGGGGCTGCAGCACCAGCCCCCTGGGACTTGGCCCCCACGCTCCTCTGTTCTTGCTGTGGTATTCTGTCAGAAGGCCTTTCTGGAAGGTCACCAACAACTCTCAACCGCCAAATCTGATGGCCTTGGCCTCTTTGTTGTAATAACTAGTGCAGTGCCCGAGTTTTAAGTGCACAGTTTGGTGAGTCTTGATGAACGTATGTGCCTTGGAACCAGCACCCACAGTCAGGATGCGGACGCCTCCCTCCCTCTCCAGGCATCTGGTTTCTCTTGGGGGCGTTGAACACTGACTCTTACTTCCTTTCTTAAAACGTCCCCTCCATGTGTCTGTCCTGGGCCTGGCTCTGCAGCCTCTGTGAGCACTGATTTTTTTTTAATTGACATTCTTTTGTCTGCACATCCCTTAATTGTTGGGGTTCCCCAAAGGCCCATTGTTGTCTGTTTTCTCCTTGGTGGTTACGCCCTGGCCTGGCACTCGGGCCTGTCAGGTCTGCATCCCAGCCCTGGCCCATCCACGTCCGGCGTGCATTCAGCTGAGGCGCCTGCGCCTCCCTCGCTCTGTTTCCAGGCGAACTTGCTGGTCTTGTTTGTACGTCGCTCCTGTTTGTGTCCTCTCTCCTTCCGTGTGTCTGGTCAACCATCAGCCTGCAGGTTCATTCCAGGGGTGTGTGGGGATGTCTGCCTTCCTACTTGGTTCAGGCATCCCTTGGTGTCTCCTGCCGTCCCGGTGCAGTCAGCGTCTGCTCACCCCGCTCCCGCTGCCCAGGCCCTTCGGTGGAACCCTCCTGTGGGTCCTCTGTGCTGCCTTACAGGCTCGAGATCTCTGCTCTCAAATCCTCCACTCCCTCACTCCTGTTCTCACGCCGGGAGGGAGGCCTGAAGCCCCTTGCACCTCGCCTGTGCTGCCCGGCCGCGGCTCTTCTTCTCTCCGTTGTGTGTCGAAACCCAGATATCATCTGTCTGTGAGGCTGTCCTAAGAGCTTCCTTCCACCTCAAGTAGAGTTAGTCATCTAGAATGAGTCGCCCCACCCACTCTGGGTTCCTGTTGAATCTTAGTGACCTGGGTAAGACACGGATTTCTTAATAAGGATACAGAAAACTTGATAAATTGGACTTTATCAAAATTAAAAACCTAGTCTTCAAAAAACACTGTTAAGAAAACGAAAAGGCAGACCACAGCCTGGAAACACGTACATCACATATCTCCAACCTGGTTGTTGGTTGAGCTAGAGACACACCAAATTTTCCTTGAGGTTAATGTTTTTCGGGGAGATTGGTGAAATCCTCTTAGTACATTTTTGAGATTCCTGAGAAAATATCCCCAAAGCCATAAGTTTTAGTTTAAAAATAAGTGAAGTGAACGAATGCAAACTCTGTAAGTCTCCCCCATCAGCTGTGCCCACAGAGGAGAAGCGGCTTCTCAAGGCCCAGCCCCTAGGTCACACACACCTGAGCCTGGAGCCCACCCATCACGCGTGCTCGTGCGGCCTGTGTGTGCTCATGTGGTGGGTGGGCAGCAGAGCCTGAAATTAGAGTGTCATCAGCATCAGTGCTTTTAAGAACTTGTCAGTTGGTGGATGAACCAGTTTACTCTGTTTCTCATAAAACCTACCCCGGCATTCCAAGGGGCAAACAGCAGACTTTTACCAGGTTCCAGAGGACCCCGCAAGCGCCCCTGATAGACCCTTTAAAAGACTCATTAGTGAATGATTGAATTACGCCTTTGATGACTGTCAGGAAAGTGCCTGGGGTCCTTTTGCGGCTCTGCCAGTGTAATCCAAGACAGTTTCACGTCATCTTCCCCACGTGCGTTTGGGATAGCAGGACAGGCGAGGAAGGGGCCCCAGTAGGAGGGAGTCTGAATTACAGGTGTTTTCAAGTGGGGTCTGGGCAGGTGGGTGGGACCCCATGGACAGGGGCGTGCCCTTACTGCGGCAGGAGTGGGGTGTCCTCGTGAGGGCTGGTTTGGAGGTCCTGCGAGTGGTGAACCGAGGGACCCAGACCGGGTGGCCTCTCCGGGGGGGGGGGGGTGGGATTAGAAACAGGTGAGGGAGCTCCTGTGCGGGGACCCGGCGAGCCTAGATAACTGGAAGAGCGGTGTCTGGGTGAAGGCATTTCAGGGTGCCCAGGCAGTGGGCTGGGTTTTAGTGTGCGTGGGGTGCTGTGGAGCCAAGTGAGTAGAGAAGGCCAGCTGGGCCAGGGTCCCGAAGCCAGACCCGAACGCCCGCTCTGGAACCAGAGGCACAAGCCTCAGTGGGGAAGGGCTGAAGAAATGCAGGGTGCCCAGAGGAGGTGGACAGCAAGCCAGGGCAGAACTTCCCTTGGCACGTGGATCACCAGGGGCCACAGCTGGTGGAAGCCTGGAGCACGAAGACGTCCTTGACCAAGTGCTGTAGGGAAGGAAAGGTTGCCCTGAGGAGCCATGTGTGGTCTGGTGCAGGGGTTTATCCATTCCTCTTGTTTATTTAAGATTGGGGAAATTGAGGCAGATTTTTAGGTAGATGTTTAAGTGGCATTAAGGCAGGGGAGAGCACGCCCCAAGGAAAGGGTGTGGACTGATGGAGCACATCCCTGGAGAGCGAGCAGGGGAAGAGGTGCCCCGCCATGTGACCCAGCACCGTGGTGTGGGGCCGAGCACCCGGCCAGGCTGTGGATACACAGTGGATACTGAGGTCCCTGGCCGCATCCAGGGTGCCCTGAGCAGCTGGTTGTGAGTGCTAGGGACAGAAGGGAGGGGAAGAAAGAGGCTCCTGCAGGGAGAGTGTTGCTCCCTGGTTGGAGGTATATCCATTTGGTAGCTCTATCAGCCCTGACAATCAGTTGCAGCCGGGAGCCTCCAGGATGCACCTGGGCAAGGAGGGCGGGGGCATAGCCAATTATCTGAGTGTGAGGCCCTGGCTGGCCCTGACTCTTCAGACTTCAGAGAATGTCTCTGTCTTTCGTGGCCTGATTTTGTGAGGAAAGGGCCCGCTCCACAGACACTGGCCTGACACGTGGCCCCAGTGCCCTGGGTCTGAGCGAGGCTCAGCTGGGTCGGCAGTCCCCACCGTCCTGAGTCGTGGGGCCTCTGGGGCACTGACTCGACAGGTGCTCTGATCACACAGCCTTTAGGTTCACACGCTGATTGGCTGCCTTCTAGGAGTGCTGCCAGGTGACCAGTGTTTGATGTGAACATACAAAGAAAATAGTAATTTCTGTGTTTATAAAAACTAAAAGTATTACAATAGTTCTATCAGAAAAACGTAGATGAATCATAGCCTCTTTCTAGACTGGGAGGTAACAATCACTTGTTGCTCGGTATTAACAAAGTTGTTCCTTGTTGAGGTAACCAGAGTTTCAGTTTTTATAAATTGTTTATCAGAAATAAGAGGATCGCGTATAAATATTTAATACATTTTGAGACAGCTTTCATGTTATCCCCAAGTCTCTCCTGAAGGACGTCCTTAGTTCTTTCAGCTGTGTTGTACGCACTTTTGTTTTGTTTTACGTTAAGAGACTCCTGGGTGAAAAGGCCCTTCATTTTATAGCCTGAGAAGTGGAGCCCTGCAGCGTGATGCAACTTGCCTGAAGTCACACGGGGGTCCCTGGGGGGCTGGTGCAAGACTCCGGTGCCTATTCCCGCTCCGGTGCTTCCCTTTCCAACTGTGGTTGTCTTCATCCCTGTTTCTAGAGCGGTGCTGGTGCGGTTAGAAGGATGTAGCCACCCAGTTGTCATGAAGGGCCTGTGCGCCGAGTGTGGCCAGGACCTAACCCAGTAAGTACTTGCAGCTGGAGCACGAGCACGCGGCACCTCGCGGTGTTTGAGAGGAGGTGCCCTGGGGGTGCAAAGAGATGAGATGTCTGAGGGCCAGGGTGGAGGGCGAGGAGCCCCACCGCGATTGCAGACAGCAGACACCCCTCCCTTACCTGGCCGTGAAAAGTCAGTTAGCTTCTGGCTGTATTTCTTTAAGTTCTGAAAGCACTAAATTCTGTCTGATGCTCATGCCAGGTATGGGAGGAAAGTGCTAGCAGGTTGAGCTTTGCTTCTCGCCCCAGCTGAAAAAGCTGCGCATCCCTTAATGTCTGGAGCAGCCATCCCTGAAGGTGGCCTGTACTTCACAACCCCCAGGCCCCGTCTTGCACCTGGGGCTACTTTACCACCAGTGTCAAGGGGTTACCCTCAATTACACATGTTGAGCCTTGGACCACTCTGTGTTTTCAGTTTGAGGGCCTCTGTGTTTTGGTGTGACCATCAGTTTATTTTCACAGAGAACTTTGTGAATGTGACTGTTACTTAATTTTTTACCAGTTTTCCTGTCTGTTTTCAGACAGTGGTGGATATTTTAGCTGTGGTCAACAGAGTAAAATTCTGCAGTTAGCTAGCACTATATGTCAACTAGAGTATGAATTGAAATCATGTCACCTACAATTCAGTGTGCTTCCTGATACAGGTACTCAGTTCCAGGCCTTCATCTCACACCCCTTCTCGCGTCCACAGGTTGCAGAGTAAGAACGGGAAGCAGCAGGTTCCGCTGTCCACGGCCACCGTGTCGATGGTGCACAGTGTCCCAGAGCTGATGGTGAGCTCCGAGGTAAGTCCAAGTGCTCGAGAAGACATCTCCTGGGGCCAGTGGAGCATCTGCGGGCCTCACCTACTCTGTAGAGGGACGTTTGGAGAAAATGTCAGATGTGTAATGGTCGTTATTTCTGAAATAACCACTGAGGGGACAGATAGTGCTTGTGGAATGTGTTGTCTTCCTGCAAAACCCAAGGCTGCACTTCTTCCTTTTTCTTTCCCAGACCACTGCTGCGCCTGCTCTGGAGGCATGGAGCTCTCCAGGGTGCTGCTGCTTTGCAGGGCTCAAATCCAGTGTGGTCAGGGAGGGACGTGAGGCGGGGAGCTGGAGCATGTCTGGGAGCCATAGGAGCACGTGAGCAGGGACAAGGGGAAGGTAGTGTGCAGGCTGCCACGTGGAGAACAGGTGGCAGGGCTGGGAGCGAGTGGGCACAGGCCATGCGAGAGGTGAGAGTGTCAGATCTGAGAGGGTATTGGTGGTGCTAGGCACGTGGATGTGGGGTGGAGGGAGAGGGGCACCTCACTGCAGTGCTCCTGGGGGGCGAGCCCCACGCATCTGTGTACCAGCAGACACAGGCACACAGGAATTGAAAAGACAAGAAGCTTGGGGTTTTACCTTGAGTGTCTGTTACTTTTTATACATTCTAAGAATCCCTAGGCAGTGTTGGTCGGAGGCATCCTGACAGCTCGTGTTTTCATGGGCTAAGGGTGTAAATGGGGTGAGGAGCATCACCAGGACGGAGCAGGAGGCCAGCACCCATCTCCCAGGGTCACATAAAAGCTGGGTTCTCGTCTTAGTTATAAAGCACTGTTAGAGCTGCACATTTTTGTGCATAGGCAGGTAAAATGTTTTTCTGTGTTATAATTTTATTGGATTTGTGCTGTTAAATGGTATATACCTTGTTTGTTTTTTGTAGGAAAGACAAATGTGAGATGCATGATTCTAGTTTTTCTGACTTACTGAACTTTAAACAAATATAATACATGAGAGAGAGAGAGAGAGTGTGTGTGTGTGTGTATAAAACAAAACTAGGAAGTTTGGGATAAAAAGAGAGGAGAATGTTCCCCACTGTTTCTGCTATAACAGAGTAACTGTTGGCTTTTCTCCATAATCCCTTTCAGGAACAGGCAGAATTCTCCTGCGTAACCTAATCAGGAACAGGAGTCGGTCTGTTGATAGTAGTAGCTGAATATCGGTTACCATGAGAAATCGTAAAACGATGCACACCGTGAGGCACTTGTCACTGTTATGTGTCTGGTTCCCTCTGTTGGCTGATGTGAGGTAGGGCCAGGGCCCCACCCAGAGGAGAGCCGGCGCTGGCCCCGTGTGGGCGACATCTGTGCTGCACTGTCTCCAACCCGCCCGGGTCTCTCCCGAGGTGACGAGACAGCGCTGAGCGTGCAGGAACCTGAGACTCGTGCTGCCTCTCTCCCGCCTGGCCCTTGTTTCCCGTTGTCCACCCTTCTCCCAGCTCAACTTCCTGCTGTCTTCATTGATTCTCCACCTCTTTGTGTTGAGTTGCTCCGTAGCATTCAACTGAATGTTTATAGATACAACTACTCTATTTTCCCCTCATTTTTCATCGGTTTGTGTATTTAATTAGATTACAGAATTAGGATCACAAGCGATTTGGGCCAGAGCAAGCTAGCTGTGGGCAACTGCGGTGTGGCCCCCTGGCCCCGTGGGATACGTTAACTTGCAGCAGGTTTGGCTGGCCAGGAAGGCAGTGTGGAGGGTGGTGAAGGACATCTCTCAACTTCTTCTTGTTTTTCTTGATAAAATTGAACTTTATTTTGGATCCAAATATACTTACTTTTCACTTTTCTTTTTTTCTTTTTAATTTTAGCAAGCTGAGCAGCTGGGAAGGGAAGACCAGCAACGACTGCATCGAAACAGAAAGCTGGTGCTCATGGTCGACTTGGACCAGACCTTGATCCACACGACAGAGCAGCACTGCCAGCAGATGTCAAACAAGGTGAGGCCTTGGCGACATCTGGAGGCTTCTTCGGGCCAGCAGATGCAGGAGCAGACACTGGCTCCCCGTCAGCCCTGCCCATCTGGGCCTCCTCCACAGGCCGGTGCTCTGGGGGTGTGGGGGGTCCTCCCTGCTGGTCCTCGTCAGGAGGCACTGCCAGCTCATGCTCACCTCCTCGTTCATGCGCGCCTCTTGTGTGCCAGGTCCACACATGGCCGTGTTAGTTAGCAGGGTTTAGAGTTCCGAGATCTGGAGTTTCTTGTTCCTGCCTCTCAAGGTGGAGTGGAGGGCAAAGGAGGAATGGTCTTGGTGGAGAAGATGAGCTGATTTTGGATGTTCTCCAGGAATATCTGGCATACTCAGGGGGAAGGGGGAGCAGGTGGGTACCTGGGTCTGTACTCGAGAGAGCTGGGCTGCAGAGAAAGGCTGGGCATCACCTTGCCTGGATTCTCCAGGGAGATACAGAGAGAAATGAAGGGGTCAAGGATGGAACCCTATTTAAGGACAGAAAACTTTCCCACGTTTCAACTCTGTCCTAAGTACAGAGCCCGAGAAGTTGAATTTCTGGACTCTTCAGAAGGCTTTGAATGCCTATTACAAATGGTTCTCCGAAGGGAAGGCTGGTGCCAGCTTATACTGTCATTAACTAGGGAGGCCTCACCAACACTGAGGTTATCATTTTTTAAGGTTCTTAGCTATTAGACCATTGATGTGTAGATTCACGTTAGATCTTGGGTTTTCAGTGTCTACAGATCTCACCAATTCCTGATTATGACTGAGCACAGTGGGAAGGTGTTCTCTGACGAAAGAGGACTGACGCCAGGCTGGGCAGTGCAGCCTGGGGCCAGCAGGGCACCTGCCCCAAACCCCATCAAGGGTGAGACCACTGGATGACAGTGTGATGGTAACAGGAGAGGTTTGATGGAAACAATTCAGTGACAGCCACGTGTCTTCAGAGTTTTGTTACAAACTTCATCTGAAAGAAGTTTGGTCAGTTTAGTTTGGCTTAGTCCATGAATCAGGCGATACAGATGTGCATGCAGATCCTCTGTGCAGTCCCTAATGCAGTAAAAATCACTTCTCTCGTAACTTGCGTCATTAGTGGTATGGAGAGAATTGAGTAGTTCTGTTGAGCGGTAAATTTTCTTCTTATGGCTAGAATTCATTCCTCGCCCACGAAACAGTTCACATTTTTTAGTTGTATTAGTCACTTTTTTATATATCATGGTGTCCTGTAGGGAATATTTGGTATTCTTTTGTGTAATGTAGGCTCGTAGTAAATACTTTCAGGTTGTTTCATTCATAACAACTACTCTGCTCATTCATTGTCTTAAAGAGTTCGAGGCCTTTATGCAATATATTTGACACGTATGTACCTGCATATATCACCATAGCTGTTTCTGGGTTTTATTGTGCCTTTGAAGTTGGGCATTTTTAGTTGGTTTATAAAACACTTTAAACAAGTTATAACATACCTGTTTCTCAGCTTGTGTGGTCTAGAGGGCGAAGGTGTCCTCGTGTCTGCATGGATGGTCCTCAGCTATTCCTGCTGGCTTTAGTGGGCCTCTGCCCAAACCCCGGCGGCCGGGCTCCTCTGCTGGACTCATTAATAGCGTAATTACAGGGCTCTGCTTGGTACAAGGAGGAGTGCCCACCCACACATCACAGCTCCTAAACCTGGACTCCTGCTGGCGGCATCTAGAAAGACATATTTAATTCTTAACTTTGAAGATCCAAACTTGTGTTTTTAAGGATGTTTATATTGCAACTTCTGGACTTTTTAACTGTTGACTAGGGTCAAATTGTTTATAAAATTTCACACTCCTGAATGTCTTAACAGGATGGTGTGACTGATTTAGAGCTGGTGAGAAATTCACTAGGCCTGGAGGGTTGTACCTTTCTTCTTCAGTTGTTGTTTAGAGTATTTTTACTAAGAAAATTAATGATACACAGGATGAAAAGGTTCAGAGTTTAACTTGCTAGGGAAAGTAAACTTCTTTACATATTAATCGTGTAAGCAGGTTGGTACAGGTGTACCTTGGGGATATTGGTTCCAGAGCACCACCGTCCAGCAGGAACTATGTAAAGCGAGTCACACGGAGTCTGGATTTCCCAGTGTGTGTGGAAGTTATGTTTATGCTAACCTACAGTCTGCTAAGTGTATAATAGCATTATATCTAAAAAACAACATACCTGCCTTAATTAAAAATACTTCATTGTTGGGCCGGCCCTGTGGCTTAGCGGTTAAGTGCGCGCGCTCCGCTGCTGGCGGCCCGGGTTCGGATCCTGGGTGCGCACCGACGCACCGCTTCTCCGGCCATGCTGAGGCTGTGTCCCACATACAGCAACTAGAAAGATGTGCAGCTATGACACACAACTATCTACTGGGGCTTTGGGGGAAAAAAATAAATAAAAATTATAAAAACAAAAATTAAAAAAAAAATACTTCATTGCTAAAAAATGCTAACCATCATCTGAGCCTTCAGCGAGTCGTAATCTTTTTCCTGGTGGAGGGTCTTGTAAAAACTGCAGTATCTGCGAAGCACAATGAAGTGAGGTCTGCTGTGTTACTAATTTCATCCATCTACTAAAGATGATCTAGGATACTGTTTCAGCTTTTCTCTTGTGGGTGTGAGTTAATAAAGCTGTCTTAAAGGAGTCCCTGAGTTAGACCAAGTTATGTGGGAATATTTGGTTTCCTTTCATCAGTAACTCAGGAAGACACTGTGGGTAGATTACTGGAGATCTGTTCTAAGCAATCTGCTGTGGCTCTGCTACTTGACAATACTAGTGTTTGAAGAAACAAAGACGTGCGTGACATCACTCAGATCCTGCTTTATCCGTTATCAGACAGATAGGAAGGGTGAGGATCTGCTGCATAGCCCCTAGTGAAGCCCATAGCAGCTGGGCGGTTACCTTCATTTCCTTAGAGAGCTAAGATACCATAGTTATCATCGGTAGTTATCATGGGTAATTACCATAGGTAGTTATTGTGTTATCATAGGTAGTCATACTGTGGTTGGTTGTCATAGGGAGTTACCATAGTTATAATAGAAGTTACCATAGTTATCATAGGTAGTTGCCATAGTTATCATGGGTAGTTGCCATGGTTGTCATAGGTAGTTGCCATAGGTTGTTACCATTGGTAGTTGCTGTGATTTCACAGGTAGTTACCATGGTTGTCATAGGTAATTACCATAGGTAGTTACCATAGGTAGTTGCCATGGCTGTCATTGGTAGTTACCATAGGTAGTTACCACAGCAGAGAAGGCTGCACTAACTCTCGTAGAGCGTGTGAAGGAAAGCATTTGTGCCACATGAGTTTAGCACACTAAATTGACTCCTTGTCCGTGACAGTAGAGCACGTATGTGCAGCTCTGGGGGACGGTGTGGAAATGCTGTCTCGGGAGCTCCTTTCTTCTGACTGGACACCACTCATTCTTTTCAGGGCATATTTCACTTCCAGCTGGGCCGGGGCGAGCCGATGCTGCACACCCGTTTGCGTCCCCACTGCAAGGAGTTCCTGGAGCAGATCGCAAAGTTGTACGAGCTGCACGTCTTCACTTTTGGTAGCCGACTGTATGCGCACACCATCGCAGGTGAGTGGCTCCAGTGCCGTTCAGTTACCCTAACTGAACTGAGCATTGTGTGGATCTGAAACGTGCATATTGTTGACAGTGGGTTTGGTTTATTTCTTATTTTCAGTGGTGTTTTCTTGAAGATGAAGGAAAAAATCAAGAAGCTCTCCCAAACTAAATTTCATTCTTACTTATAGCTGGCAGTTGGGGGTGGCAAGGCAAAGTTCAGTCCGTCTGGTAGACGAGAATGGCCCAGCCCCTCGTCTCCTGGGAGGGTGCCTCCCTACTCTGCCGGGACCCCACAGGCTGTTGCTGGACACACTCCAGCCCAGATGGGCAGGCTGCTGTCATTCTGGCCAGGTGTGCACTGCAGGCCGTTTTGGAAGTTGGCCAGGACCACAGATATGTGGAAAGGTGGAAACTTTCTATACAAGCGTACTTAAGATATTTTAGTAATTGGTTTGGAAATAGTTCTGGAGCAGTGTCATGCTTGTTTGCACTTGCACTTGAAGTGCAGACAGAATGGGTAGCTCTTATCTGCGAGTGGGCGATGTCTGATTCAGCTTGACTTGCTATCTTGGTAGAGACTCTAAGCTGCTCTGCTGGCCATGCTCGAGCAGCGCTTGTACACAGGAATCCCTGGGCCGCACGGCATTGCCCACCGGTGGCAGCTCTGGCTGAGGATGGAGTGTAGGGCTAGGCTTCACCCTGCCTGAGGACAGCCGGGCTCTGGCCTCTCTGACCCACTGGTGGATGTTGGCACCTGCGTTATAATGTGGTCACAGCTCCTTAGTATTAGATACTGTGTGGTTAAATTTAAGTACTTTCAAATTCAAATGTCTTTACAGATTGATCTTGGTCTTTTCTTGTTGACAGCGAAATGAATTTTGAATCCCCTTTTAACATTTAGTACTTTTTTAGGAGATTTTAATCATGAACACGTAAGCAATGTATTAAAGTTAATTCATCTTGTAACTAAAATTCAACATACCTGCCTTTAGTATATGGCTGCTGTGTGGCTGCCTGAGAGACATGATTTGAAGACCAGTGTAACTACTTTCTAGTGTTCTTGTACCAGTGAATAAGCAGCACCCCGTGTGAAGGCTGCACATTAAGTCCTTCAGGTGCAGACCTCTGGGGTAGCCGTGTGGCCAAATGAGGGCTTCTGCCTTCCCCTCTGGAAGCTTGGTGTCTCTCTAGGAATCGATTAGTAATGCAGGTAGAGAAATAGTGAAGATAATACCACCTGAGATAGAAGTGCCCAGGGAGGTGTCCCTGGAGGGTTAGGAAGACATCCCAAGTAGAGCATGTCTGCACTGCCCAGCAGACCTGGGGAGGAGCGCTCCCTCCTGCCTGCAGTCAGTGTGAGCCTTCTCCATTCAGGCTGTGCTTTGTACCTTAGAATTCCCACGTTCCAGCATGTCTAGACAGACAACACAGGGAAACTATAGGCTGGTATCCCTGTCAGGAGGGTGCAGAGACCCTCAGTAGAACAGCACCGTATTCAGCGGACCTGTGGCTGCTGTGTGGCTACCCCCCAGCACTGGCTGGGACGTCGAGACCGACAACATGTCACACCGGGGAGGACTTGGGAGGCAGTCATCACTCACAGGACGGATGCCCTGGGTGGCTCTGAGAGTGGTTGGGCCTTCAGAGGGCTGGGGGTGGGGATGGAGAAGTTCCCGTGCGTGCAGCAGGGGTTCACGGAGTTTGAGCTTGGCGTCTGCACGTGATCGTGGCGTTGGAAGGAGTCAGCAGATCATCTAGGTCCTGTGATTATTCACAGATCACAACCAGAGGCCCAGGCTTTCACTGATTCCTAACCGTGGTTTTGAAGAGGCATGGTTTCTGTAGCTTCCTCTTTCTATCAACTTTTAATTTTGGAAGTTACCATTTTCACAGAATTTGTGTGTTTAGTGTAATTGGGATAGAAATATTTTCATTCGGATAGAACTGTTAAGAGCTTTGGGTGTTTTTCATGTATTTTATTGTAGAGACACTAATAATTCTATTAATAAATTTTAGGTTTAGCTACTGAGTGGGTTCAGTGTTCATATAAAACTTACATTCTGTAAGAGCAAGCATTTTCTGTTCATGAAGTGCTCATGACTCAGTACCCCAAGGATTGAAGCATCTGGAGGTTACTGTATAGAGTGGTCCCCAGGGAGACCACGTGGACTCCAAGCGCAGTGCTCGTGACCAGGGAGACCACGTGGACTCCGAGTGCAGTGCTTATGGCACAGCGTGTGAGAGGACTTCGAGGTGCACAGACTTGTTTTAACCATGATGTGTGTATTGCAGCTGATAGTAGCAAACAATAAAACCTGTGTATCAGATTGGTGATTTCCGAGACAGACTGCGGCAGAGGGTGAGGCAGGGTGTGGATGGGCACAGGGAGTAGCTGACTGGACGCCAGTCTGAAGAACGTGGCGACTAAACACAGTGCATTGGGATGCACATCAGGTCAGGAAGGCGTGCTTCCATGTCTGTGTTTGGGCAGTGCTGATGGGATTTAACCTAAAAATGTCTTGGGAAAGCATGGATTAGAGTGTGAGTTTAAAAGTGCTGCTGAGATGTCCAGCTCACCCCTCTGCTTCACAAGAAACTGAAGGTACAGGGTGACTGCACATGGTGGCACAGCCAGAACTCAGCTCCCATCTCGGGTCTGCCTCCTCGTGTCCAGTCTCTGGGCTCCTTTTGGATCCCAGCTCCTTGGACACAGTGTGTGGGTGGAAACTGTGTGTTCACTTGTCTGTTGTGGGTGGAAACTGTGTGTAGGTGTCTATTGCCCCGCAGACTCTATTTCCTGGGGAGGTGACACTGAGGTTTGTTCATCCTGTATCTTCTGTTCTTAGCAAAATTCCAGGTAATGTTAAATCAGTAATTTTTAATGAGGATATGCCCTTAAACGCGTTAAAATAAGAGAAAAGGAACCGGAAGTGAGTGACAGTCTTACCTGAAAAGAGAAGCATATTTGATGCCGATATGTGATGCTCCGAGTCTCTGATGTACAGACACTGTGAGAGGCCTGACCGTGTGCACAGGGGGATGGCAGTGGATCTTAGACACGTGACCTTGTCTGTTTTCTTTTCAAAGGCTTTTTAGATCCTGAGAAGAAGCTTTTTTCTCATCGAATATTGTCAAGGGACGAGTGTATTGACCCGTTTTCTAAAACAGGCAACCTTAGGTATGTACCTGGCACGTTCACTGCTGAAGCTCACTCTTCATTCTCACTCTAAAGACTGGCATTTTGGGCCTCAGAGCATTAATCCTGTACTTAGTCTCCTGGTTTCTTAGGAAGCCCGCTGTCTTCTAACCAGACCCCTTCCTCCCTGCCTCTCCCTCAATGTCCAGGCTCTGGGGGACTCAGGCCAGAGCCCAGGAGGACAAGGGCATGGGGAGAGGGAGCTGAGGGCAGGGCCGGGGTTGGGGACGTAGGAAATGGAAGGTGACGATTGGAGAGCCAGTCTGGACAGAAGAGTACCCAGAGCTTCCCCCAGTGCAAGATGGGCTGTCTGGCAGAGTCGTGAGTTTGAGGAAGGTGTTTTTGGCATTAGTGTTGGCGTCTCAGGTTTATACTTCCTGGGGAGCTTGTATGTTAATCCTCATAGTAAGTCATGAAACCCTAAGTCATGGCGCCTTCTGCCCCACCCTGCCTGTTTCCACGTCCTTCTCATCACCGTGTGCCCCTTCCTGTCCTCTGCTTTTAGGAGGGGGCTCTCCCACCGCTGATCAAAAGGCTGTTTTACATTCTCGGAAATTTCTGGCTTGCTCTGTACAAGGGATTTCCCCATTTCTACCCAGAAGGGTAGGTCTGCCCGTTATGATACTATATCAGACGTGACTTGTTTTCATGGATGTTGATTCCTGACGACACTTGGACAATAACAGCTGTAGTCTCGGTGGCCTTTTGGCTGGTGTTGGCCACTCTCAGCTAACAGATTTAGGGTGTCCACGCAGACTAAGACCTATTCAAGTCCATATGAACTAAGAAGAGTGTCTGCAAGGACTTGTTTCAGAAAACGACCTCGTGTTTGCTAGTTAGCGTTGGAGTGAGCAGACTGACGATGACAAAGGAAAATGAGAGACGGTGTCAGTGATTTATAATGGGGACAGGCTACCCAAAAGTGAGACTGTCAGAGCAGAATGGGCCTCCTCCCCAATAGACACAGTGGCGGGTGCTGGGCTTGGTGGATATAGGCAGTCAGGTCTGCTTTCTCAGTCTGGATGTGGTGTGGTTTTTCTCTCTCTCATCTGGAATTAAATGTGCCAAAAGCACTAAATCTGTAAGTTATTTTAGCTACCTATGTTTCGCCTATGGCAAACACACTCATAGAAAATCATGTTAATTTTGGACACACGAACATTTTTTTCTGGGTAGTTGTGGCCTTTATTAGCAGCTGGAGAACCTAAACATGCAGGCATTTCTCATGGGTTTATTTCCTGATCCTTAAAGACAGGCGAGAAGCCTTTGTCACTCTCAGTTTTGAATGCTACGAGCCGACATCTCTGAATCTGAGTTGTGGACAGAAATTGAATTTCACAAGACACTTGAGGGTGGCAGCGCATGCCTGCGTCCATTAGATTGCGTTTTTAGACCTTGTTAACATTTCTGCTTACCCCGTACATCCTAATAGCTTTTGGGAATAGAGCAGTCACTTTTTTGGACTTGAAAAGATGTCACGTAGGCACACTGCAGGAGACGGTGGTTTATTTCAAACTGCTGAGATTTGAGTAAGGTCACAACCTCCTGCCTGTAACTGAAAGCCCTCACCTTCGGGAGCAGCCTGTGTTTGTAAATAAAGTTGCATTGGGACGTGGCCACGCCCACTTGATTAATACTGGCCATGCCACGCTGCTGGGAGTGGGGCCTTGCTGGGACCGGGGCGGGCCCCCCAGAGAGTAAACTCTTTATTTTCTGGCATTTAAGGAGAGCGTGCTGACTGCTGCTTCAGGAATATCACAGACAGTGGAGAAGAGTTTGACTATTTTAATGTTCCTTTCTCTGGAAACTTTGAGAGTTTAAATGTGAGCTAAAGAAAAGCCCTTCAGAGTAGTTTGCATCTGTTTCTGATTAATTTGCTATTTACTGGTTACATATAAAAAATCATGACTTTTAATTGATGATGATTTTTTGTAAATGGTATTAGTAGTTCTGATACATTTTTACTTCCAGAAATCTCTTTCCTTGTGGAGACTCAATGGTTTGCATTATTGATGACCGAGAAGATGTCTGGAAATTTGCCCCCAATCTGATCACCGTGAAGAAGTATGTGTACTTCCAGGGCATAGGAGACATCAATGCTCCATCTGGGTGCCGGGAGTCTCAGGCGAGAAAGAAAGGTGGGTGACCTTCTTCTAGTTGTCAGAGAAGTATTAGCCTTTGCTTCACTGTTCACTCCTCTATTTCTTATCTCTCTTGTGGCTGCTGTAAATTCAAGATTCATTTTATTTATTTATATTTCAGTAGTTACAGGGGTTGTTGGGTTTATTTATGTTGTACTGAAAAGCATGATATTGTTTGGTTTCAGTTTGGATTTTTCTTTTTAAGTAGTACTAAGCTAAACATTTTTCCAGTTGAGTAAAGATTAAAGAATACTGCTTAATTTAATAATCTGAGTACTACCTTTCATCCCAGTTTTCCTTAAAAGTCAAGCACGACGCTGGGAATTTGGCCGTAGGGTTCTTTGGAGGGAGCAGACGGGTGTAGTGGCTCCGGCATGTGGGTGGCAGACACCGTGGCCTGGAGCCTCTGGAACCACATGGTCTAACCTTTCAGGGAGCGCAAAGCCAAAGTTTGTCTGAAGAAAATTTAAAGTTTTGGTTTAGTGTTTCTGATGCTCTTTAGTTTTTAAATAAAATATTTTGAGGTGTATACTTATTGCTACAGTCACTGATGTAGAACTTAGCGGTCTGGGCCGGGGAAGTGGGACCTGTCACCTCTGCAGAGGACGAGGCTCAATGGCCTGGCTGGAGCAGGGCAGGGCGGGCTGCTGCCCACAGGCCCGGTCTGACCCCAGCCTGTGAACTGAGAGTGCTGTGTACATTTTTAAATCGTTGTAGAAACCAAAGGTGAGTGACCATAAGTGGCCCGCAAACCTAAAGTACTTGCTCTCTGGCCCTTGCCAGCCAGAGTCTGCCCACCCCAGGTCTAGAGTGTGGTTGAAGCTGGTCATGGGGGCATGCTGCGTTCGCTGTCACCAGTAGTTTCATGTTTAACAGAAAATGACAGTGGCCTCTTCTTTTGTACACATGTGTAGTGAGTCATTCTTCTAAAGGTGCCGATGCCACAGAGCAAGCTCCATCTGTCAAGGACCCCGAAGAAGGAAGGCAGGTTCCTGGGGTCGAGCAGAGTAACGGGCTTGGGAAGCCCTCAAGGGAGCTCAATGGGGGCACTCCTCCACAGGGGGACTGGCCCTTGCCTTGTCAGGAGGAGGAGAGGGGCACACGGCCTGCCACCCATGCCCCCTTGGCTGATGGTAGGGGGCCCCCAGCGTGTGCTCCTCAGCATGGTCGGACATTGCCAGAAAAGCGGCCTGCTCAGGGCACGGCGGGTGCTGACCTGGACTTTGACTTATCCAGTGACAGCGAGAGCAGCAGCGAGTCAGACGGTCAGTCTTCCTCTCCTGCCTCTGATGGCGAAAGTGGGGAGAAGAGGGGCCGGAAAAAGCCTAAGGCCGTGCGAGATGCTGGGAAAGTCGTGCCGCAGGGTGGCGTCCCGGGCTCAGGAGGGGAGAAGCCTGCAGGAGCAAATCACTGTGGGGAGTCTGTGCCCGCTGTCCATGCGGACGTGCAGGAGGAGAGCGAGCGGGACGGCCTCTGCGGGCTTGGGGGCGGCTGTGCTGACAGGAAGGAGGCTGAGACGGAGTCCCAGAACAGCGAGCAGTCGGGCATCACGGTGGGCGAGTCACTGGACCAGAGCATGGAGGAGGAGGAGGAGGAGGAGGAGGACGCCGACGACGACGACCACCTGGTCTACCTGGAGGAGATCCTCGCCCGCGTGCACTCCGACTACTACGCCAAGTACGACCGCTTCCTCAGCGGGGAGATCCAGGAGGCCCCCGACATCCGGAAGATCGTCCCGGAGCTCAAGAGCAAGGTGTTGGCAGACGTCGCCATAATATTTAGTGGGCTGCACCCAACAAACTTCCCAATAGAGAAGACCCGGGAGCATTACCACGCCACGGCCCTTGGAGCAAAGATCCTCACTCAGCTGGTGCTGGACCCCGACGACCCCAACAGAGCCACCCACCTGATCGCGGCACGGGCGGGTAAGTCTCTGGCACCTTCCTGCCACCCTCCCTGCTCCCTCAGTCCTGCCTGTGGGTATAAAGATGACCTGCGGGCCTCCTGGTACAGAGCAGCGTGGCTGCTGATTTCATGTAGAATTTTCAGAAGCATTTTCCAGAATCATTGCCTTTTAAGAGTTTATTGATAATTACGTTGTGGTCAGATTCTGATTTGACTGCTTTTGTGTGTGCCATATGGGCATTGTGTGCGCAAGTGTGTTCTCCTCGTATGTGTGCATTGCATGATGTCAATACGGCATCTTGAGTTACTCGGACAGCCACCGCTGTGTGCCATGTATGAAGTCAGGATCTTCTACCATGAGTAAGAGCCTGCGTGGGTAGGGAATGCACTGTCGTGAGTTTATAATGGAGTGACTATGGGCCAGTTACATAGTTGTCAGGACACTTAGTGGGGGAAAGATCGAGTTAGAAAATGGAATGCAAAGATTTCAGCTGGAACCACGTACAACGGAATTGAAGTTGGAAAAGTGAGGATGGGCCTGTTTTCTCATTACAGAAAAGTTCATCTCGGACACTCAGACTCGAGTGATTGCAGCCAAGTGAAGCAGCCCCTTGGTGACGGGCAAATCGTGAAGGAAGGCTTATGCCTGGTTGCTTGAAAAAACAACCTAATTACTTTTTTAAAATGCTCTAATATTTCCCAACAAAGACTGCTCCAGCCCCTGCTCATCCTTCCATGGCTTCCCCTCCTGAGCCAGGGCTCCCACATACCTGCCCCCACAGGGTGCAGGGCAGTGTCATCAGGGTGGGCTCCGAGACGGCTTGTGACATGCATGCGCTCAGAAAAGCATTTGCATGAAGGGGTAACGGAAGGTTCTGTCTGTGTGGAATAGTGCAAGATCCTCACTGGGGTCGGGGGCAGGCTGGTCAACCCTAAAGCAGCCCTCGTGTGCAGCAAGCTAGCTCTCCTGAGTAGTGGGGGACTGAGGAAAGAAGGCTCTGGGGTCAGTGAGCGTCCACCTGCTCTAGGACCGCTGCCCGGGTGCCTGCCCCGTAGTCTTCCCCTCAGATCCTGAAGCACTGCTCATTCGCCCCTAGACACGTGTTTGATGACAGTGACAACAGCTGGCCTGGCCTCTCTGCTCTCGTGGTCATGACGCAGCATGATCCTTTCTAAGCTCATGGTGGGCAGGACGGTGTCCTTGTCTGACACTGAAGGAGACTTTCCAGACACAGCCGCCTGCGTGTCAGGCACTGTGCCCAAGCCTCTGTTCCCATCCCACTTGGGCTGCTTGCATACCCGATGTGCCCGTGGGTCTGCCCTGCCTGGATTCCATCCCTGGCACTTGTCACTGGCCGGGAGACAGCGGGCTCTGCAGGTCCGGTAACAGTGTGATCCTGGCAGAGGGGAGCTGGGGTGGGGACTTTGAACATCTAGCAGAGGAGCTCAGACTCAGTGCAGCAAGAAAACGGCATTGTGGCGACTTTCTGAGCAGGTGGAAGTGGTAGCAGGAGCTTTCGAGAATGCCGACCACGTAGTCTTGGAGAGGAGGGAGAAAAGAGGGCTCTCAGGCAGTTGGCGACAAGGGCGAGGAGGAGGCAAGGGTACAGCTCAGGTTTTTGTTGCTTTGCGCCAGGACGTGTGTGGATGCGCTGGGAAAATGTCCTGCAGAAACAGACGGGCACCACAGCTCACCTGTCAGAGTGTACCTGTGGCCAGAGCGCTTAGCTTTGGGGCCCAGGTTTTCTCTGTCGTCCGCATCCCTCCCCTCCCTGCTTGCTGGCTAGTGCGTCTGGTGGGCGTCACCCTGCATCCAGTGAGAACGTAGCATCCCCCCATGCTTTGTGGGACATCCCAGGAGATGGGAGCTCGGGGCTTCAGGGGAGGAGTCTGGAGGCAGCCGAAGGCAGGCGGGTGGGAGCTGATGAGCAGTAAAGCCGGAGTTGAGGCTCTGGAGTAGACTCCGAGATACAGAAATTGTGCCGGTGGGGGTCAGTGCCCGTCCTGAGTGATTACACACTGCGCCCCTATGCACCTACCTCCCTGTCCTGCCCTGAGGCCGCCCCTACGCACCTGCCTCCCTGCCCTGCCGTGAGGCCGCCCCTCCTGAGCCCCAGGTAGCCTCCTCCGCCCCGTCTGTCTCCCGGTCCGTCTCTCGCCCTCCCTTACTGACAGGGCCCCGCGTGTAGGGTCCCCCCAAGAGCAGCGGAACTGAAAGCAGTTGTTTGATCGCAGGCACGGAGAAGGTGCGCCAGGCCCAGGAGTGCGGGCAGCTGCACGTGGTCAACCCCGACTGGCTGTGGAGCTGCCTGGAGCGGTGGGACAAGGTGGAGGAGCAGCTCTTCCCACTCCGGGACGACTGCAGCAGAGCGCAGAGGTGAGTGCCACGCCTGTGGTGGTGCCGCGGGGAGTCCGTGCTCTCGGGCCTGAGCAGGCCTGTCTCTCCCCGGGGAGCTGACCTGGACCACCAGCCTCCTTCCTGCTCATAGCTCTGCGCAGGTTCTCTTGTGTGATCACCGTGCCCGCCCCAGGCCAACATTGTCCCCATGTGCAGGCAAGAAGAGGGAGGCTCGGAGGGTCCAGGTCCATGCCAGTCCCCACAGGCTCGCTGCCTCCCTCTCCAGAAACCCCTCCCATGTCCCCCTTGCCACTCTCCCACTGGTTGTCTCCCACAAGCACGGGTTGTCTTTGAAAGTGCCTGTGTGATGTCACCTCCTAGGGAAGAAATACCATTGCTTTTTCTTTTGGCAGTGCAGCTGGCTTTTAGCAGTGAATCAGTTTGCACGTTTCTCTCGGCTGGGAGGTGGTTACGTAAACTGCATGAAGGTTTTACAGAGGCTGACAGCGCACAAGGGAAACGATGCCGGGAGAGGGGTGGGTGGAGAGCAGGGCCCGGTGGCACGTCCTCTGGTGAATACTCGGAGGTGGGGTGTGGGGAAAGAGGTCCCGTCTGCTGTGCATTTGTGGGGAGGGAGAGGCCCGTGTGTTGGGGAGAGTGGTGAGCAGTGAGAGTGCCTGTGTTTGTTGAGAAAGGCTTGCAAAATGCTTCCTTTTCTTTGTCAAAGTATGAATATTGTCTTCAGAGGTAATGTCCTGGACTAGACATCAGAGAAACAACAGATGCAGACTCTACGCTGAGGTTCTGGGCAGCCGCACTTGCGGTTCTCCACAGCACCTTGGGTCGCTTTTGTGCGTGGGGTTGGGCCCTAGAATTTAAGAAAAATCACGTCTTTGCACAGGCTCTTGTCTCAGACTTGGAAAGATCTCAGTTCATGGGCCTGGGTGGTGGTTGCTGGGCTTTAGTTCCCGCACTTTCTCATGGCCTTGTTCTCTTCCTGCAGGGAGGAAGGCCCGGCAGCCTTTCCCGACAGGCAGGGTGCACTTCCAACCGCCTTGTTCCATCCGACGCCTGTCCATCCCAGAGCCCAGGCCGGCCCTGAAGTTCGGATCTACGACGCCAAAACGGGCAAGCTCATTCGGAAGGGCGCTGTGGGCCCCGGGCCCCCCAGCTCCCTGCCAGTCCACGTGGAGCACTCCTCCTTCAGGTACATCCACCGTGCTAGCAGGGCCTCCCTCTGAGGTTTAGGTTGCCGTCCTAGCCCCACCAGCTGAGGGAGCAAGGTGCTGCTAGGTGTGCTTGTGAAGTTAGGGGTTGCTTCTGCCCTGAGTTGGAGTTGCGCTGCCTGGCTGAGGGCTCTGACTTCCAGCTCATGGAGACTCCTCACCCACTTACACACCGGCCCTTTCTGCTTGTTCTCCTGTCTTGGGTCCCTAAACTGGGTCAGACAGATCCGTGGTTCAGCCTGTAAAAGTCCTGCACCTGTGCCTGGCAGTGCACACGCTCACGTGCTGACTCAGTGCCGTCCTCCACAAGCTGTTTCATTTGCAGACCAGACACGTGCGGTAAAGTCAGCCCGTCTCCTCCCAGTGGAGCCAGGGCCTGGGAGGGGCTGGATCTGACCCCTTCCTGCCTGGGTCCTCCAGGTCCATCCCTTCTGCAGGCCAGTCAGCAGTTGTGTGGGAGGAGGGACGAGCTTGGGGCCTATGCCCAGAGCCGGCTGCAGCTCTGGCAGACCCAGCCTTTCCAGCTGTCTTATCCCACTTCCACACTGAGGTGGGCCTGAGGCGGGGCTGGCGGTGGCAGTTTGTAAGTAGGAATGTAAAGGAGAGAGACCTAATTTTAGGTTTAGGACTGATGCTGCCCTCATCGAGGCGCTGCCTGAGCGAGCCAGTCTCTGCACATCCTCCATACGCGCACCTTCCCTTCCTTTGTCTGGACTGGGCATCACCTTCCGCCTGAAGCTGAGGACCATGCAGACCACTTTGTAAATAATATTAGGGCATTCTTTGAGAGTTAAATGAGGGATCTGAAGTTTTATTTCATATTGTTTTTTGAAAAATGGCCATGGCTTTGAAATTTCTGTGATAAGCTTATGGTCCTGCATCCATGTCCCCTTCTCCTTTCTGGAAAGCACTGAGGCCTTCCCCAAGGAGCCGCCCTTCGCCATTAGCAGCCCATCCAAGGCAGTGGCCTCCCTTCTGCCCCAGCTCCCAGTGGGCCTGTGCTACATGCCATGGCTCCACCGGCGAGCTCTTCAGGGATGGGCAGTGACCAACCAGAATCCCTGCCCTCTAATCTTCCTCTGGCCACAGCCACAATTCAGAGCCCGACACGAGCCAGGGTTGGCTCAAAAGGACGTGGATGAGCCCCAGGGTCGGCCTCAGGATGGAGCTGCCCCCATGGGCGAGGTGGGGTCTCCATTGACCCTGGACTGGATTCCACATGCAAGCCAATAGGTGCCCTGGGTTCAGCCGGTTTGAATTGGGCTTTTGATTGGTTGGTGGTGGTTTTGTTATTTGTAACTGAAAGCATCATCACCAGTTACACTTCCATTTTCTTCCAATAACGTAATCCTTAATTATTTAAGTCGTTAGATTATGATCTCTATGTACTGCTGGTTATGTTCCTGTGGAGTCACTTCCCAAAAGTGGTATTACTGTATCTTGAACTTGACTAAATGGTGTCAGTTACTTTGTCACAAATTTGTTGGGATTCACGGTCCTGCCAGTAGGGCGCAACCCCCTCCTCCCTGTCAGTGCTGGGGGCACAGCGCATGGTGTGCCCGTCCGTCCATTTCCAGGGTGGTGGGTCAAGAAGCACGATCTCGCTCTGACCGTCGTCGCTGGCTGCCCGAGGGTGACCTCTCACACCCTCGTATCACGTGTGCTGACAAGCCATTCGGATTTCACGTCAGCGGATTTCCCTTTACAGCCTGAATGCCCCCTTCTCCTTACGGGGTTTTGTCGTCTTTTTCTTTGTCCCCTGTGGGAGATGTTTATTTAAGTTAGAGAGATGTTCTGAGGAAGAGGTTGCCCAGCAGGCGTAGGAGAGGACGGCATGCGTTGCAGTGTTTCAGCAGTTCCTGCCCAGCCATACTAGACTCCGCGCCGTTGAGGACAAGGGACCCCGGGTGTTGTTCGCTATGGTCAACGCTTCTAGTGCTTCGTGTTCTCTGTGGGAGCTTTCTTGCGTGGTTTCTCACAGTGGGTTCATTGTGCATTCCACCCTCTTTAAGATTCTTTGGTGAGGTGATGCTGCTTCAGGTAGGTGTCGTTTAGGACACAAGGACAGGTGGACATTTGGGCATTTCCTGTGGCCGGAGAGCAGCCTGACTGAGAGTTCACCTCCCTAGTTGTGGAGGACGTGCAGTCGGAACAGAAATCCCCCTTGTGTTTGAGAATAATTCATTCGCAGTGTGCTGCAAAAAACTGGAGTGTTAGATTGTAGCTCTATATTTTACTGTCCCAAAAAATTTCAGAGGTAGGTTTCTTTAAATCTAATCCTGTCGTTCCCTTTCTCAGACTCTTAGTGTGCATAGACTTTCAGTTGTTCAGGGTGGGCTCTGCATTTGTTGACATGTAGTGTATATGTCGTGTCTGTTCATTTTTGTTGCTTAAAATAGTGAGATCATCCTCATTTCCGAGGTTCCTCCATTTAAAAGTAAATCCTGAGGGTGTGCAGAGTGCACCTCGAGAGGAACCAGTCCCAGGCAGGATGCGGGGGGCCACCTGCGGGCCTTCAGGGAGGGGGCCGTAGCCATCCTGACCTTTCAGGTTCTGAGATGTGAGGTGTTGTGCCAGACCGGATGGCAGTGCCAGGGCCTGCCTTCCCGCACACAGCACCACGGGCGCAGATCTTACTGGCTTTGGCTCCTGTCTATGGAGACAGCAGGTAGAGGAAACCACTCCCTGTGGGGTCCACTCATGAGTTGAATAGGGCTGGGTCTCGAGGACAGGGTCGGGTTGCAAGATTTTAAACAGAGAGTTAGACCGCGGCACCGGCTCAAAGCGAGGCTGACACCACGGCCCCAGAGCCGCTGTGTGTGCATGTGCTTCCTGTGGACCACAGAGCTGTCAGGGAGGCAGGAGGGGTCTGTGAGTAGTGGCAGGGACTGCTGCCTTCTCTGGGGCCAGGACAGCATTAGGAGAGGCTCACCTCGACTCAGCACCTGGGCTGTGTTCCAGGTGGAGGGAGGTATGAGTGGAGGCTCACAGGAGAGGAGCCCTCGGCCTCTGTCGTCAGGGCAGTGTGGGTTAACGCAGTCTGCCGTTTCCCACGTGTTCAACAGCAGAATATTCAGAAGTGGTGATTCCCGTGCTGACCGTTCATTCATGGCACCAAGTGCCCTTCTGCTCTGCTCAAGGAGGGCGGATGGTACAGTGCACGGGGCTGAGAGCCCGAAATCCTCCTGACCCGGGGTCTCACTCTGGGACTCTGCCCCTCAAGTGAGTGCTCTGCCCTGATGTGACCTGTCCATGCGTGGAGGACTTGCACTTCCGCGTGAGGGCACCGCTGCTATTGGACTAATCCTCCTGCTGCACATAGCCATCAGGGCTGTGGTCAAAATGCAGAAGACAGCTATGTGAGGGTGTTAGCGAGCATGCGACACCGCGGGACTTGAGCTGCAGCCTGGAGGAGGCGGGCAGAGCACCACACTCCCCACCTTTCCCTTAGGGTGTCTTCCCAGCGTGTCTTGTGTGTTGGCCTGGGAGAGGGAGCCAAGTGGAAGGCCATGTCTCTCTGAGCTCCCGAGACAGGCTGGGGTCTGAAGCTGTGAGCGCAGCTGGGAAGTGGGGAGAACCCCAGGAGAAGGAGCCCAGGGCCACAGGCGCCCTCGAGTTCTCAGGCTGCACGGGATCCCCAGAGGCTGAGAGCCTTTAAAGTAATTGTGATCATTGGTGGATAAGGTAGAAGGACGGACAGGTGAAGTAGGTGGGAAGGTAGAGAATTTCAATGGAGAATTGCAATCTATAAAAAATAACCATGTGAACATTTTAGAAGTGAAAAATATAAAATCTGGAGTTAACTGGAAGATAGTCAATAGAAAATGTGCAAACTGGAAGCAAACAGAGTGGACACAGATGCGAGGGCTGGTGTGGAGGGCCACGAGGCACCTGCATGCGTGGTCCCTAGAAGAGGAGGGTGGGCGGCTGGCCAGGGTGAAGCCTGGCTCTAGAAACCCAAAACCCAAAACAAATCTGTACATTCTGTAACTCAGTGAACCACAGCTGGATGGTGGAGAAAATCAGAGTCCAGCTCTTTAAAGCCAAAGATGAGCAGGGCCGGCCCAGTGGTGTAGCAGTTAAGTTCGCGCGCTCCGCTTCGGCGGCCTGGGGTTTGCAGGTTCGGATCCCAGGTGCAGACCTGCACACTGCTTATCAGAGCATGCTGTGTCGGTGTCCCATATAAAGTAGAGGAAGATGGGCACAGACATTAGCCCAGGGCCAGTCTTTCTGAGCAAAAAGAGGATTGGCAACAAATGTTAGCTCAGGGTTAATCTTCCTCACCAAAAAAAAAAAAAAAAAAAAAAAAACAACCAGAGAGGAGAAAATCTATTCTGTATGTGTGTGCCCGTATGTGATAGGATGTTACATGCTATTAATTACCAATGTTAACACTGACGTTAATGATGTATTAACATACTATTAAATCACAATACAATTATGCTATATTATATAATATATATTTATCTAATAGATCAATTTTTACCTATTAAATCTTTATTTCTACATAGCAAAAAAGTTTAAAGCAAGTTATTTTTTTAATTGCCACAAGTGAATATAACATTACATAAGAAAGTAAGGAAAAGTAGGTGTTCAGTACTCCTGGGGCTGTGGAGAGGAAAGTAATAACGTGAAGCAGTAGTGAATGCTGTGAGGCCATATGGAATGCTGAGTTGTCTGGGTGCTGTGCATACACTGGAGGAATTGGGAGGAGAGGGGGTCGTTGGTGGGATCCAGTTCTCCTTGGGTGGGGACGTGAGCCGAGCCTGAAAGGTTGAGAAGAGCGAGACAGGGAAGAGCGTCCCATCAGGCCTGCAGGCGGCGCTTCCACTTGAGAGCAGAATCTGTCCATGCGCCCCCAGCCTCGCGGGGTGCAGGCGGACTCGCTGGGACAGCCGCTTCCTGAGGATGGTGGCCTGCATGCCCGAGCACAGAGCAAGCTACCAGCAGCCTCAGGACGATGCAGAAGGGACAGGAGGGT